GGTGAAAATTTAGAGTACCAAAGGGTTGATTTTTAGCCATTCTTTTGTTTCTCTAGCTGTGTATGCAGTAGTATTATCTTATTGAAAGGTAAAACATTTTTGATTTATAAAATGTTTGTTAATATAACTCAATAGTTTTCCTTTTAAGGCATCAATATATTTGCTATTATCAATAGATCCAAATACTCTTAGGCATTTCCAACTCCAAAAATCCCAAAGCAACCCCAGATTATAACCGACCCTTCTTTATCCTGAAAATTTAAAAACATTTTACTTTGTAGCTGTGTATCACTTTGGTACATTCACCATTGAGTTTCATCTGCTCAATAACAATTAAAATGGTTTTTTCTACCCATAATGTATTTTTCCATATATTAAAAAACCAATTATTGTGTGTTCTGGCAAATTGAAGTCGTTTTGAACATTATCTTTTGAGATTACAGGCTTATTTTTTTTCCAGCTTTAAAACCTGCTTGTTTTAAGTTTTTTCTTAAGCTCTGACAGCTCACCATTATTCCATAGTCTTGCAATACCACTTCTTGTACTTTCTTGATATAGATTTCTTTATCTGATGCCAAATGCATTGAAATGTGTCCGAGTAAAGTAGGACTTATTTTTCTGGGCGATCTTTTTTTCAGTAGAATTTTTAAATTTATAAAGATTATTATATTTGGTAATTGTGTTGATATTTATGCCTAAACTTCTTGATACACTTCTATAGTTTTGAACGATATTAAAATGAAATGCAATATTATATTGTTTATCAATTGGTATTTTTTTTTTGATAAATCAATATTGTTTAAATTTTTAAATTATAAACTTGAGAATATAAACTAAATAGATTCAAGTTTTTTGATTGGTTGAAGATGTACTGATAAAGTTACTACAGTTTTAAAATTTTTTTAAAAATTTACTTTAAATTATATTTTTCTCTTTATTAATAAACTGGCCTCAAACTAAGAATCTATTTTAGACACATTTTATATTTTTGGATATCAATAACAGATAGATTGGTTTATATATAAAACTTATTTATAGAGATAGTGATTGAAATAAACATTCAACTATTTTGAACATATTTCATTGTGCTTTAAATATCCAAATAAACTTATTAACATTGTTGCTAATATCTTAATAATTGGATTAATAAACTATTTGTGATGTATAGTATATTTTCATCTGTACTAAATTCATTCTGTGTTTGAATAAATAATTCATCAATAAACCTAATATTTTCACTATATTCAGCTGTATTTTCTATATTAGGTAAGCTATTTTCTCGAGTGTTAAATTACATTGTATTTTAAACATATTTAAAAGCATTTATTCCTTCAATAACTATATTATGACTAATTTTTATAATAAAATCAGTATTTAATACTATAACTCCAAAGTTATACTTTAAAGTTTTAGGGACTGATACTACAGTTCCAATGATAAAAGATGATCGGTAATCATTTTTAAAAAGTGTTCTAGCTTTTTTATTACCAATAATGTTTCCTTTGAACTTCAAAACCTTTCCCAGATATTTTGTTTCGATATTTTTTGATTTTTTGCTCAATTATAAAAGGGAGGGAACAAGAGAAAGAAAAAAGGAAAATAAAAGTTAAGTTAATTTGTTTGTTTTTATACTGAATTTTGATGGCTCTACAAGTAAAAGAGTATTGAATTTATACGTACTGAACTGTTTTGTATGTGTAAAAGAAAGAAAAGAAATTGCTTTTTTAACCGAAACACGAAAATTTTTTACTAAAAAATTTGGTTTTAGCCAATCAAAATACATGGAAAAATTTTTATTAAAAAATTCGAAAAGGAGTTAAACACAACATTGTTGTAGTTTAAACCCCCTTTTTTTAGGATTTGGAGGGTCAAACAATTCGAATTTATTGTTTTATAATTAGATGCACTTGGAAATTCTTGGATAAAAATCCTGGGTAGATTGGTTCTTTGTGTAAAAAGTTATTTATGTAAATGAAAAAGTTTAAAAACATGAACACTTTTGTTGTATACTGTAGTACAAAAATTAGAAATTTGGAAATAGTAAACAGTAAGAAAAAAAATTAAAGTTGAATAGCCATTTCATTTTAAAATCTAAAAGGATGTCAAATGACACCTTTGGTAGAAATAGTGTTAAGAAACACAATTGCTAATGTGAAATAGTAAATTCAAGGCCAAAACATTTTATCAAGTTCTGCCCAGTCATACTCGGTAGTATTTTCATCATCTTCAATATCCATTTCAATATGTAAATTAAAATGGTTAATTGTTGGAAGTATTAATTGAGTTTCAAAGTTGCTCTGGTTGTTCACTGGATTGCTGATAATATCCTGAACAATCGCATTTGACAAAATATCAACCATATATTGGTAGTAGTAATATTGATTAGAATTTGGATTAGAATCTTCAAGAAGCTTGTTGTATTTAATATATCGATCATAGTTGGATTGATAAGATGATTCACTATTACCGTTTTTTGAAGAGCTGGGTACTCTAGGAAGCGATTCATCTTGTCTAGCAAAAGTATTATAATTTCTAGTTGGTTCTGTATTGGAAATGTTGTTGCTTTCTTCTTTCTGATGTTGATTTACAAATGTAGCAAAAGTATCTTTAATGTACAAGTAATCAGTTATTTTCATAGCTGAAAATGATCCTTCAAAGCAACAAACTATAAAGAAAAGTAAACCATATTTATGAACTAGCCATGGATGCACATCTGGCTCATCGATGGAATATTTCTTCATATTTTCAAACAGTGGTTTGGATTTCTCATTTTCTTTGTGAGTTTCATTTATAAATTTTGACAGCCGATCCAAGTACATTAAAAATATAACTGGAATCTCGGAATAGTTGCTCATTTTGAGATATACTTCTTTCAAATGCTCTATTTTATTTGCCAACTTCATTTTATCATTCTTCGAAGAAATTTTGATATAATTCAAGCAAGTTATTGCACTCATCAGTCCTGTTGATTCTGTTATCGTTTCCCAGTATTCTGGAGGTAGATTTTTACTTAATTCATATAACAAATCTATTTGTTTGTTTGCAATGTCTACTAAAACATTTTTTGCTGAAACTATTCTTCCCGGATGCATGTGTATTCCTTCAACTCTAACCAGCTCAGTTTGGTAGAGAGTACTTTTCATAAAAAAATGGTGATGTGTAAAAATATTTTTATAGAGGATATTTTCTATATCCATAGTGAATCTGATTGTATCTTTGTACTTTGAATATGCTTCTTTGATTAAATCAAAATCAATTGATGGGTTTTTGACTATGCTTTCCTCGAATTTGTTTAGTTTGTCAATTAGTAGTATCAGTTGACAATTGTCGTCATCTGGATTATAAACTTTTTTAAGCCATCTTCTTTTTGCAAAATCACTGACCTTGCCCGAAAGTGTTCTCATTTTTACAAAATTTTTAGAATCTCCTTTGCTAAATAGTTCATTATTTTCACTGTTTGCAATTTGATTCCAAAATATGATTTCAGGGTGTTCTACATTGCACTCGCCACCATGTCTCCACCAAAAATCGTTTTTTGGAAGGTTTACTACAATGTCCAGATCTTGGATGGTAGGTAATGAACCGTTATAGGATGTTCCACCTCTATCAAACGAGTAAAAGGTCCAAAACACTCTTCTCCTAAACTCGAGTTCTTCTTCTGAATATTTTAGTTTCGTTATTTTTGACAAATCAAGTTGATATATTTTGGATATTCTGACGGAACTAGAAATTGAGATATTAGTTTATATTCATAGATATTGAATCTAATCTTACATTGATGCTAAGACTGAAGGATTTTTTATCAAAAAAAAAATAGAATGTTGTCATTAGTGAAATATATCAAAAGTATTAAAACTTACTTGAGGTCGTTTCGTATAAAGTGGTATTGACTACAGCAGAAAAATAATCCAAAATAATAATACAGGTCCACAAATAGTGAGGGTTTCTAATATCAGTTTTCGTTTTTAACAGATTGACGGATTTTTGGATATAGAAAAGCTCTTGTTCCTTTTCCTCGGATGTTCTTATTCCCTTACTTGCTACACTTCCTAGGGCGACAAGTGCAAAATATAAATATCCCGGATACAGTCTGTTTTTCATTTTATAGTAGAACTTGGGTAGTCTGATAGGTATCATAACTACTGGGAATACTATTGGCAACCTGACAATCATTTTAAATAGTGTCTCATCACTTAGAGATTCCAAGTCAGCTTCGTTGTCTGAACAACAAGAAAATTAGAATATAGTTTGGATAGAAAATGTATAAACTTGCCTAGTTTTGATTTCTTTGGATTTTGTTCAGAGTTCATTTTTGACAAAAAGAATAAAGAAAGAGGTAAAATGAAATTGCTTTTTGAAACAAAACTTTGGTTTTCGGAGGTGA